TGCGGGCACCCCCACTGGGGCCTACGGTGGAGCTCCCTATGGGGCCACGAAGCGCTGCCCTGGGTGGGGGAACCGCATGCGAGAGCAGCCACTGGGGCCTACGGTGCAGGCTCTTATGGGGCCACGAAGCGCTGTCTTGGGTAGGGGAACCGCATGCGGGCACCCCCACTGGGGCCTACGGTGGGGCTCCCCTATGCGGCCACGAAGCGCTGCCCTGGGTGGGGGAACCGCATGCGGGCACCCCCACTGGGGCCTTCGGTGGAGCTCCGTATGGGGACACAACACCCTGCCCTGGGTGGGGGAACCGCATGCGAGAGCAGCCACTGGGGCCTACGGTGGAATTCCCTATGGGGGCACGAGGCGCTGCCCTGGGTGGGGGAACCGCATGCGAGAGCAGCCACTGGGGCCTTCGGTGGAGCTCCCTATAGGGGCCACGAAACGCTGCCCTGGGTGGGGGAACCGCATGCGAGAGCAGCCACTGGGGCCTTCGGTGGAGCTCCCTATGGGGCCACGAAGCGATGCCCTGGGTGGGGGAACCGCATGCGAGAGCAGCCACTGGGGCCTTCGGTGGAGCACCCTATGGGGCCACGAAATGCTGCCCTGGGTGGAGAACCGCATGCGAGAGCAGCCACTGGGGCCTTCGGTGGGGCTCCCCATGGGGCCACGAAGCGCTGCCCTGGATGGGGAACCGCATGCGAGAGCAGCCACTGAGGCCTTCGGTGGGGCTCCCTATGGGGCCACGAAGCGCTGCCCTGGGTGGGGGAAACGCATGCGAGAGCAGCCACTGGGGCCTTCGGTGGAGCACCCTATGGGGCCACAAAACGCTGCCCTGGGTGGGAACACCACATGCGAGAGCAACCACTGGGGCCTTCGGTGGGGCTCCCTATGGGGCCACGAAACGCTGCCCTGGGTGGGGGAACCGCATGCGAAAGCAGCCACTGCGGCCTTCGGTGAAGCACCCTATGGGGCCACGAAACGCTGCTCTTGGTGGGGCGCATGCGAGAGCAGCCACTGGGGCCTACGGTGCAGCTCCCTTATGGGGCCACGAAGCGCTGCCCTGGGTGGTGGAACCGCATGCGGGCACCCCCACTGGGGCCTACGATGGAGCCCCCTATGGGGCCACGAAGCGCTGCCCTGGGCGGGGGAACCGCATGCGAGAGCAGCCACTGAGGCCTTCGGTGGAGCTCCCTATGGGGACACGAAGCGCTGCCCTGGGTAAGGGAACCGCATGCGAGAGCAGCCACTGGGGCCTTCGGTGGAGCTCCCTATGGGGACACGAAGCGCTGCCCTGGGTGGGGTACAGCCACTGTGGCCTTCGGTGGAGCTCCCTATGGGGCCACGAAGCGCTGCCCTGGGTGGGGGAACCGCATGCGAGAGCAGCCACTGGGGCCTTCGGTGGAGCACCCTATGGGGCCACGAAGCGCTGCCCTGGGTGGGGGAACCGCATGCGAGAGCAGCCACTGGGGCCTTCGGTGGAGCACCCTATGGGGCCACGAAGCGCTGCTTTGGGTGGGGGAACCGCATGCGAGAGCAGCCACTGGGGCCTTCGGCGGGGCTCCCTATGGGGCCACGAAGCGCTGCCCTGGGTGGGGGAACCGCATGCGAGAGC